CTGGAGATGGAATTGGAGCCTAATGCAGAGCAAAGGACATTCTGTGGGGCAAGAGAGAGAAGGGTATTAACAAAAGAATGGAGAAGAGTAAAGAAAAAAAAGGAGAAAACTACCTACCTGTCTAGGGAGTTGGATCTTGGACTGGGGAGCCTGGAAGTGAGTCAGTGGCGGGAGGCAGTGGTGCCCCTACCTCAGGGTCCCATGCTGGCAAGAGGCCTGGAGATGGAAGATGGATCTGGAGCCTCCTGCCCTTTCTTTCTTTCTTTTCTTTTTTTTTTTTTTTTTTTTTTTGCTATAGGGCATGTGCGCTTGTTGGAGAGACAGAGAGGCAGAAAGTGAGAAATCACCCTCTCAGAAGGATGGCCATGCCACAATCCCCTTTCCTCTCTTTGGGATTTTGGGCATGCACACACACATACCCAGCCTGAGTTTTAAGCTGCCAGATCTGGGACTTGACCTGTGATCTACTACGTAGGAGTCCAGTAACATAACTATTATGCCATCGACTGGTCCTCTTGTCTAAAGTTTTTACATTCTTGTTCTTGGGTTGTTTCTGCTTTATAGCATCCCTTTCTGGTTTTATAGCTATAGCACATTTGGATCCTTCATATCCATTAATTAGTGGTTTTGTTCTTTGGCTTAACTTAGTTTTGTTGTTTTTGTTTTTAGCTTCTTTGTAGTTTTTGTTTAATATTTCATTCCTTTGCAGGTAGTTGTCCGGTATATTTTGGGTATTCTCATCAATACTGCAGGTTCTCTTCACATGCTATACATCATTAGTTTCCTGATCATATGTAAGAGAAAAGGAAGGGTAGCTGATAGAAGATTTCTCTGTTATTAACATAGAGCCCTTTTATAGTTGTCTGTCTTTTCTTTTTTAGAGAGATTTTTGCTATAGGGTGCATGCATTTGCCAGAGATCCAGAGACAGAGAGACAGAAAGCGAGAAATCACCCCCCCCCAGGGGGAGGAGCACCCTGCAATCCCTTCTCCTCCATTCTACTCTGTGGATCTTGAACACACACGCACAAGCACCTGGCATGAGTTTAAGCTACTAGGTCAAGAACTTGAACCACAGCTAACTACATGGGAGTCCAGCAATGTATTCATTATGCCATCTGTTGGTCCCAGTTGTGTTTCTTTCAAAAACAGGAATTCTGTAAGACGATAAGAACAGGGATTGAACTCACTTTTAGGATCAGCAGATGGGCAACTAGTTTACAGGCTACAGCCAAGGGTCAGAATGACTTTGTTCAATTTCTTTGTAACATACTGTATATTTTTCTCCTTCAGTCTGAGTGCTAGATACCTGCCTTTAAGAGTGCCAATTGCGGGGCCAGAAGGTGGCATGGTGGTGAGGGCACTAGACTCCCAAATGGTTAACGTGCAGTTCAAGCCCTGGACCTGGCTGCTTAAAAATCATGCTTGGCATGTGTGCATGCATGCCTAAAGTTCTGAGAGGAGAATGGAGGAGAAGGGGTTGTAATGTGGCCATACCTTCTGGTGGGGTGATTTCTCCCTATGTATCTCTCTGATGAGTGTGTGTCCTCTATAGTAAAAACCTTTAAAAAAAATGCCACCTGCTACATTTGTCTGCTAACAGATTTTTTGTTGAATCCCTCTTCTGTAGCATCACTTCATACTTTCTGACTCTGAGGCCAGAACCCTCTCCCTTTCAGTTCCTTACATCTAGACATTGATATCTCTGACCATTTCATTGGTCAGCTTGCCTCACCTTTTTCTCAGATATTTACTGAAATCTCACATCTGTTGGTGGTCAGTCTTGTGCCTCACCTTCTCTCCTTCCTTTTCTGTTAAAGTTGTCTTCATTTTCCTTTGTAATATTTATTTCAATGCACTCTCAAGAGAAAACATACATTTTTCAGAGACAAAACATATTTCTGCTACTTTTTGTCCTTTCTAGTTGGTTTTAGAAAAGCTACCAGCTCAGTTTCTCGCCTGAACTTTAGTAAATTCTTGGAGGTTTCCAGTGTGTACTTTTTCTATTTATTTAGTATCTCCTCAGATAGACAGAAAACTCTACAAGAGCTGTAGTTGTGCATTCTGTTTGATTCGCTTCATCTAGAATGCCAGAGACTCATTGTAAGGAGTTTCAAAACTTCAAATGTAAGTGCTTATACTTAAAGCAGACCCCTTTGCTCTAACTTTGCTCTCGAGTTTTACTTTTTCTTTTGTTTCTTTAACTGTGCTTGCCTTAGTTTCTTTCTTGCCTAATTATCTTTCTCCTAGGGCTGCTTCTTCACCATGTCCTCTTCCCAATCCTTCTAGTCTTCGGGGGTAAAGCCGCACTTCCCTCTGGGCCCTGTCGTCCCTTACTCCTCAGGTTTACTGTAGGAAAGCCATTTTTAGGCATTTCAGTGCATCTTCCATGTTTCTTATTCACATCCCTGCTACACATTAAGGTTTCCTAAGAATACTCTCTGAATAGTTCTAAAACCAATTTTTAACTCATGTCCAATCTTGCCTTGCCCTTACTCCCATTTCCTCCTTTCCTCGTATTATTTTAAAATGAACCCCAGACATCATGTCATTTCCTTCACAAATATTTTAGTATGCATCTAAATAGGGCTCTTTTCTTTTCTTTGGAGAGGTTTTTGCTACAGGGCAATTGTGCTCACCAGAGAGATAGACAGAGACAAAGGGATAGAGAGCAAGAAATCACCCCCCAGGAGGGATGGCCATGCCGCAATCCCTTCTCCTCCATTCTTCTCTCGGGATCTTGGGCACGCACACACACGCACCCAACGTGAGTTTAAGCCACCGGGTCTGGGACTCGAACTGCAGTCGACTACATGGGAGTTCAGCGATATAGCCATTACGCTAACTGCTGGTCTCTAAATAGGGCTCTTTTAAAACTATATCCATGATACCATTAGCACATCTAAAATTACTTACATCCAGTAAGTATTCAAATTTATATGTTTCATAGTTACCATTGATACTTTTTATTTATTTGTTTTTGCTATAAAGTATATGCACTCACCAGAGAAAGAGAAAGAGAGTGAGAAATCACGCCCAAGGGGGCATGGCCATGCAGCAATCCCTTCTCCTCCAGTCTCTAGTCTCAGGATTTGGGGCATGAACACTTAAGCACCAGGTGTAGTTTTCAATATTTTGGGTCTGAAACTCAAACTGGGCAGTCAGCCATGTGGGACCCAGGGCCTTAACCTCCACACCACCTGCTAGCCCCACCATTGATACTTTTTATTTTGTTTGATTCAGTTAGGATCCAAGTAAGGTAAAAACATTACAATTGGTTGATAGGCCTTTTAAATCTCTTTTCATATATAAGCTACCTCTCCATCTCTTTTTTCTTGTTTTAATTGCAATTAAATTGTTGAATAAGTTACATTAGTTGTTTTGTACATTTTCTGGTTTGAATTTTACTGATTACATCTCTGCAGAGTTCTTTAATACTTTCTATGGAGCTTATTGTTTTCATTCCTGGGGATTCATGGCATTATTCAACTATTTACCATAATTCCTAATTTTTCATATTGATTTCAAATATCTTGAAATCTCTTTTTATAAGAAATTGTAAAAAGGAATCTGATCATTTGTTTGAGGTTTTGTATAGATGTGTTTCACTTGTCTATGTCTGTAATTGGAAAGCCAATTAGATTGTCATTTCTCTGAGGGACCAAATGTTTAAACTTTTTGGTGAATACAATATGTACTTTCCAAATTTAAGATTTATTTTTATTTCTCCCATGAGAGAAAGAGAGGGAGAAAGAGAGATATAGGCACCCTAACAGGGCACTTGTACCGCAATATACTCCTAGCCAGCCTGGATCATGGGTATGTATATGTGGCAGGCATGTACAGGGAGATCTCTGGATGTGTACCTGGTTCCTTCTACATGGTCCAGCATCACAGAGCTTCATGTTACTGTGAGAAAATAAAACGTTACATTAAAATGAGAATTAATTATATTTTCAAATTCCTGACATTTAATAAAGTGATAATTGTTGGGGCCAGCAGTTAGTATAATGGCTATGTTGCTGAACTCCCACATGGCCAACTGCGATTCGAGTCCTGGACCCGGTGACTTGAAATTCACACCAGGTGTGTGTGTGTACATGTCCAAGATCCCAAGAGAAGAATGGAGGAGAAGGGGTTACAACATGGCTATCCTCCCTGGGGGGGATGATTTCTTGCTTTCTGTCTCTGTCTCTATCTCTCTGGAGAGCACATGCATCATATAGCAAAAAAAAATCTCTAAAATAATAATAATAATAATTATAATACCTTACAAACCTTCTGTCAATAGCATGGTAATGTCTACATGATATGAGTGGAAGAACTGTGTTTTTTTCTTTTTCTTGAGAGTTATATCTGTTTCATGTTTTTTTGACTTTTGATTATTTTTATGTAACAGCTTTCTTCAAAGGAGTTTGTTCTTAGTCTTGCTGAATCATTTTTCTTGAGTAACATAAAGTGTGGCACATAGCATTATCATTTTAATGAACAAAGGACTTTCTCCTTAGTTGTTTTTATTCCAGAGATAAACTTGGAAGGATTAGACTCTTCAGGACAAAATGTCACACAGTAATATTTTATTATCTGTTGATGATGACATGTTTACTATTCATTTGGACTGGTTTAAGGTATATTTCATGATGGGTTAATTCTCTATATAAGCTAAATAATGTGTAGTGATTGAAAGTATAAAAAATAATAAGAGAAACTTCCTTAATACCAGATATAGTGTGTGTGAAAGAATAGGGTCTGAGGAAGGACATTTAGAAGAAAAATAGGGAGGCAAAGCATTAATGGGACAAAAAAATGTGGTATTATCTGTTGAAGATATTTTATAGTTTAATCAACTGGACTAGGGATAAATGTTCACCTGTTGAAATATTCACTTTGCAAGCTAAATAATATTATTGAATGTATAAAAGAAAATGAAATTAAAAATTGAAAAAAAAACTAGTAAAAAAAATTAATGATGTCTTCTTCTCATTCCCCCCTTGGTTTTAGGAGCAGGGAATCCAAAATGTAAAATTATACTTCTTTTGGGAAGAACTAAAAATACTTCTGTATCCAGGTAATAAATTCTAAATACAATATCTATGTAGGAATTAAAGTCATATTTCTATCTACTTAATTTATTTCAAAAGTACTATTCGGGGTCACAAATCATATATCATGAGATTTAATGTCAATATATTTGTATTTCCCAAGTATTTGCTAAAAGATATATTTGGAAAATATTTTAGGGTGTGTTGTTTGTACATTCTTCACTATGAAATTTCTGGCATTAGGAAGTATTGCTGCATCCTTAAAGCTATTTGGATCAGATTAGTAGACATAAATGTTTTTTAGAACTGTCTGTAATAATGAAGTGATTAGATATTTTGATCAAGAGCAATGGTCTTGAAATGTTTAATTTTGTATGTCAGTTCCCAGTTACCATTGTTGAGCAAGAAGAGGCCTCAGTCGAACAACTTTCACTTGTTTTCCAGTCATGGTGTTGGTTGTAGACACAACCTGCAGAGACTACTCAGTGTAGGGCTTTTACACAGGTCGACCCCAGTCATCACTGCTCACCTAACTACATGACTACAACAATAGCCGAGAGACAATTGCAACTCCACCTAATGTTTATCTTATTTTTCCTCTTAGCAAACTTTCTCTAACACCTCTTTTTATTTTAACCAGGCACAGACAACACAGCATAATTCTTGTTCCCATTGACACACCTGGAGTAGAATTAATTAGGCCTTTGTCAGTTTTTGGCTATATGGGTAAGTCCTCAATAAAAGTATCTATGCATTAGCAAGCACAAAGACTAAACTATGCAGCAACACTGAGGGAAATAGAGAGCATTTTACTGTAATCTCATACATCTCAGTATTGTTAGAAATCCCTAACAGCCTTTACTATAAGTGGCATGAAAATCGAACAGAGCAAATAGAGGTAGCAAGCCTCCTACTTCATCATCTTAACTTTTGGGAAAGGGCAGAAACAGCAGCTCTGTCTTCTCTCTGTCATCCATGAGAATAGATGAAAGAAACTGACATAGAGGGACCAGCAGTTAGCGTAATGGCTAAGTCGCTGGACTCCCACGTAGTTGACTGCGGTTCGTGTCCCGGACCCGGTGGCTTAAAACTTATGCTGGGCACGTGTGCGTGCGTGCCCAAGATCCCAAGAGGAGAAGGGAGGAGAAGGGATTGCGGCATTGCCATTCCCCCTGGGGGGTGATTTCTCACTTTCTGTCTCTCTGTCTCTGTCTGGCGAGCGCACATACCCTATAGCAAAAAACTCTCAAAAAAAATTGTTTCTAAGTTTAGCTTTTTTTTCGTTTGAGAGATTTTTTGCTGTAGGGCATGTGCACTCACTAGAAAGGCAGAGAGAGACAGACAGAAAGCAAGAAATCACCCCCCCAGTGGGGGGATGGCCATGCCACATCCCTTCTTCTCCATTCTCCTTTCAGGATTTTGGGCTCATATGTGTACTCCCCGGCCTGAGATTTTTTTTTTTTTTGGTCACAAATAGGACTTTTTATTTGTCACTATTAAAAGTCTGAATTTTAAACAGATTCTTGGACTGGTGGTTCATATCCATCAGCTCGTTCAACTTTGGCACCCATCTCATCCCCAGTAGCTTTTCCAGAGCTACTACCTTCACCATGAAGCTCCATGAGTTTTCCCAATTCAAACTTGGGCTTCTTTAGCATTTTGACTTTCCTGACGAAGACATCGTGGAGAGGGTAGATGGACTGGCAGGCCTTTTCTATGTCTTTTCCGATGCTGTCTGGAATCAGTTTATTGACCACTTCTTTCAAGTCATTTGTCTGTACCTCCCAGGTCATGATTTCCATCATCTTCTGGATTTGGTGGACCTGCTGATGCTGGGCATAAGAGGTCTTCCGTATCTGAATGTTGCGTTTTTTTAGTAAACCCAACACAGAAGAGACAAAGCAAATAGCCATCGGTAGTCTTGACATCGACATGAGCTTCAATCATGGTCTGCCATTTTTTGACCATGGACCACATTTTGTCACGGGTGAGATCCATGCCATGGAAGTTAGTCAGGCAGTTTTTGCCCTTAACATCCTCAGTAATTAGCTTGAATTTCCTAAATGCGACTTCGTCATTCTGCAGATCTGCAAGGCTCACTTCAAACACACGGCCCTTAAGGCCGTCGGACGCGATTTTGGTTCCTTGAGTCCTGGTAACCAGTGTCTTCCCAATATTTCTTATGTTGAACATAGCAGGTGCTTTCACGTCATACCAATCTTTTTTAGAAAATGGATCAACCACTTTCTTCTTGGCTGCTAAGTCGCTGGACTCCCACGTAGTTGACTGCGGTTCGTGTCCCGGACCCGGTGGCTTAAAACTTATGCTGGGCACGTGTGCGTGCGTGCCCAAGATCCCAAGAGGAGAAGGGAGGAGAAGGGATTGCGGCATTGCCATTCCCCCTGGGGGGTGATTTCTCACTTTCTGTCTCTCTGTCTCTGTCTGGCGAGCGCACATACCCTATAGCAAAAAACTCTCAAAAAAAATTGTTTCTAAGTTTAGCTTTTTTTTCGTTTGAGAGATTTTTTGCTGTAGGGCATGTGCACTCACTAGAAAGGCAGAGAGAGACAGACAGAAAGCAAGAAATCACCCCCCCAGTGGGGGGATGGCCATGCCACATCCCTTCTTCTCCATTCTCCTTTCAGGATTTTGGGCTCATATGTGTACTCCCCGGCCTGAGATTTTTTTTTTTTTTGGTCACAAATAGGACTTTTTATTTGTCACTATTAAAAGTCTGAATTTTAAACAGATTCTTGGACTGGTGGTTCATATCCATCAGCTCGTTCAACTTTGGCACCCATCTCATCCCCAGTAGCTTTCTGGAATCAGTTTATTGACCCCTTCTTTCAAGTCATTTGTCTGTACCTCCCAGGTCATGATTTCCATCATCTTCTGGATTTGGTGGACCTGCTGATGCTGGGCATAAGAGGTCTTCCGTATCTGAATGTTGCGTTTTTTTAGTAAACCCAACACAGAAGAGACAAAGCAAATAGCCATCGGTAGTCTTGACATCGACATGAGCTTCAATCATGGTCTGCCATTTTTTGACCATGGACCACATTTTGTCACGGGTGAGATCCATGCCATGGAAGTTAGTCAGGCAGTTTTTGCCCTTAACATCCTCAGTAATTAGCTTGAATTTCCTAAATGCGACTTCGTCATTCTGCAGATCTGCAAGGCTCACTTCAAACACACGGCCCTTAAGGCCGTCGGACGCGATTTTGGTTCCTTGAGTCCTGGTAACCAGTGTCTTCCCAATATTTCTTATGTTGAACATAGCAGGTGCTTTCACGTCATACCAATCTTTTTTAGAAAATGGATCAACCACTTTCTTCTTGGCTTCCTTTGTGCCGCCTTTCGTAAGGCACTTATTCTTGCCAACTGCCATGGTGCTACTCAGAGAGCCAAAAGGCTCCCGGCCTGAGTTTTAAGCCACCAGGTCCAGGACTTGAACCATAGTCAACTAGGCAGGAGTTCAGTGACATAAATATTACCATCTGCTGGTCCCCAAGTTTAGCTTTTTTAATCAGCCTACAAGAGTTGTAAATAACCAGTGAGTTTTGATTTATTTGAGTCTAAAACCTTTCTTTCATCATATCTTTTGGGTGGAATGTCTAAGTAGTAAGGATATAATTGTTTCCTGCTGTCCTTCTTGGGCGTATGTTCATCTGATCATGCTGTTTGAGTCATCCACTCAGCAAGTGTTTACTGGGCATTGTTACAGATGTTTGGAATGCTCTAGTTAATATAACAGACTGAGATCCTGGCCCTCTTGAGCTTGATTGTTGGTGGAAAGAGACTTATAATAAGTACAGACATCTAAAGAAGTAAATTATATAACATGATAGCAGGTAAAAAATGGTACAGAAAGTCGATGAGCTTCAGGGTCTGCAGTGCCTTTGACTTTCTGTTGTTGAATGTGATAAGTGATTGTGTTTTTGTTTTTTTTTTTAATGTTTTAGTCGTAAGGCATGTGTGCTTGCTGGAGAGGAACAGAGGCAGAGAGAAGAAAAGTGAAATCATCCCTCAGGAAGGATGGCCATGCAACAGTCCCTCCTCCTCCATTCACCTCTCAGGATTCTGAGCACGCACACACACATGCTGCATGAGTTTCAGTTGCCAGATCCAAGACTCAAACGTGTTCAGCCATGTGGGAGTCCAACACCTTTGCCATCATGCCATCCGCTAGCCCCTGATGAGTGAATATTTTCAAATAAACTGATAGAAGCAACAGTTTCATAGAACATTTAACATCATCACCTTCTGTAAGATACAGCTGTAAGGTGTATCCACATGTTAATTATAGGTCACAATATGGAATGAACAAGCTCACTAGAACAAATTGCACACGGGAAATTGTTGGGTTGCAAAGCAACAGCTGTAAGTCACCAAAAATGGTTATATGTTATAGATGAGTTACAAATACTATTCATGGCAGAACCTATGTTTGCATTTTCAGTATCAAAAATTCACCAAGGGACTAGCAGTTAGCGTAATGGCTGTGGCTTTGGACTCCCATATAGACAGCCACAGTTCGAGTCCCGGGCCCGGTGGCTTAAACTCAGGCTGGGCGCATGTGCATGCATGCGCAGGATCCCAAAAGGAGAATGGAGGAGAAGGGATTATGGTGTGGCCATCATCCCTGAGGGGTGATTTCTTGCTTTCCGACTCTCTGTCTCTCTGTCTTTCTGGCAAGCGCATATGCCCTATAGGAAAAACCTCTCAAAAAAAAAAAAAAAAAAAAAATTCACCAGCGCCTCTCCAACTCCCTATGTCCAAGGCCAAAAAAAACAGCGTGAAGACTGATTAATGCCTGTTCTAACAGGAAGAGGGTGTAAGTTAGTCAGCATGAGATTATCTCCAGGACATAATGGGAAGGAGGGGTGATGAAGACAAAAGTGTGAAGTGACTCAAATGCCAGCATTTTCAAGAGGCAAACAAGTAGTGGAACAAGTGTGGGCTTGGGGTAAGCATAGCTGAAGGGCCCATTTCTCCTTCATCACTGATGCTGAGCCCGTTCAGCAGAAAACCTTCACTCCTTCGGGTGCTGTTTTCCACAATGATAAAATAAGACATTTGCATAACTTTATGCACTTACCGTTTCTGAAACATTCAACGTTTTTGGTTCAAGGAAAACTTTCTTTAAAATCTCATATATAAAACATTTCAAAGTAATAGCAATAATAAATCAAAATGGCCTGGGTGGAGCTGTGGAGTCCAGTCTTCCTCTTTCATAACTCCACAACGTCAGAAAATGAATTAAAAACATCTGGATCAAATGATTTCATTTAATCTTTTAAAGTTTTTTCCAACTTGACCAGTTAGTAAGTTTTCTGGGCTCCTGGATGCTAACTGTCTGGGGCTGAGGTCTACCTGGAATGTCTTTGACATCTGGATCTTTTAAATCCTCCTTTCTTTGAATAAGTACACTTCAGTAGATAAGTTATATGTGACCTTTTCCCAGCTGACTTACAATTTTTACCTTCTATTTTCTAGATCAGTTACATGGAGGACATTTTGAGATCCATTTTAATCAAGTACGAGTTCCTGCTACCAATCTAATACTAGGTGAGATGGGTGGGAAAGATGATTTTCCAGTATTGCACGTTAATATTTTCAAGTCTAAATCTAGAAAAGACATGCAGTCTACTTTAATTTACACATTTTCCTCTCTCCCTTATTCCATTTATCAAGGAACAATTTCTACTTTGTTGTTTTTCTTACATGGAATAATAAAGTTTTATGTAAGTGTTGAATGTGGTTTTATATACCATAGCAATGAAAAACACAGCTAATTACAAAAATTAAACAGACCAGAGCAACATATTTTCCTTAAGCATTATCTGCAGGCCTCTATGTGTTTCAAGAGAACCTCAGTACTTTCTGAATTCAAGTCATGTACAAGTTAGACACAGAAGTAATTTAGACACTGTGATGGCGTGACTATCCTCACGCTTATTGGACTCTTACCCGACCTTCTAGGAACATTTCGGATGCCACCTGTTTCAGGAATGGTTTTGTATTTCTTACCCCAGCCACTCAACAAGCCTCTGACTCCTCCCAGGGCCTAGGTCTCAGGGCTCTACTCTCTCTCTCTCTCTCTCTCTCTCTCTCTCTCCAGTGCCTTTCTTCATCTGTCTCTATAGCCCTATCCACGCCCTCTCTTCTGGATTCTAAACTCCTTGTGTAGAGACTGTCTCTACGTCCCCTTGTAACTACTGCAGCACTATAAAATAGCTTATGCATAGCAAGTACTCAAAGGACAGCTCTTAAATTTGATTGAAATACTTAATGATGGTGTTAAATATACAAAAATAAAAACTTTCAGAAATACTTAGTGAACCTTATCATAGAATTGACTTTCTCACCAGGACACCATTTTTTTTGAGGACAGCTCATCATTTTCCCAGGATTTGTGTAACAAAAGAAATGGTTGGGTCATTTTCTCCTTACTTTCTCACAGGTGAAGGCAGGGGATTTGAAATTTCCCAAGGCCGCCTGGGACCGGGCAGAATCCACCACTGTATGAGAACAGTCGGTCTGGCTGAACGTGCTCTGCAGATCATGTGTGAACGGGCAACACAAAGGGTGGCCTTTAAGAAGGAACTGTATGCACATGTAAGGATGACTGCTTATTTGAGTTTATGGTATCCCTGTGGACGGCACTAACCTTGAACAAAAGCATTACTTGGTGAGAGAAGTTTCCTCTACATGTGGAAGGTAGTTTTTATTCACAAAGCATATTTATGTCTGTATTTAAATATAAAAATATGAGAGATGTCTATCTTTGTGAAAGATTAAATAGCTTTTAAAGTGCTCAAAACCTCAGCACACAAAGAATAGGGACAGTTCCTTCACTTTGATCAGACTCTCATTCTCTAGAGAACCTGACACTCTGGACATGAAGAGGTTGTCATAAGGAAGAAGGATTCTTGTCCTTTGGTTTTCTGGGAGGAATTAGGACAGATAAGTGTAAAGACAGGAGAGAATAGGTCAGCACTCAGTTAAAGAGGAGCATTCCAACAGAGACATTTTTAAATAACATGGACTGCTTCAGGAGGAAGCTTGTTCTCTGTCTCTGGAGAAATGCAAGTATAAATGGGACCAGCATTTGGTGAGATGGGCAGGATATTTAAATTTTCATCTGTAAGTCATATACAACTGAGTCTGTTATTTTCCAGACATTACACACGTAGTTGCGGGCCAACAAATAGAAAGGTGATTCCCACACAGCTGACCCCATGGTTCAAGTCCTGGACTTGGCAGCTTGAAAAACACACTGAGTATGTGTATATATGTGCCCAAAATCCCAAGAGAAGAATGGAGAAGAAGGGATTTTGGTGTGACCATCTCCCCAGAGATGATTTCTTACTTTCCCTCTCTTTCTGGCAAGCTCATAGTTAAAAAAAAAAAAGGCTAAAAATAAATTAATAAATGATAAAATAAACAAAATTACCAGTGGGCAATATAATTAAAATTTGGAAACATGTATCAAGAGAGAAAAGAAGGGATCATTAGACTTCCGGGAAACCTTTTTTACACAGAAGTGGGATATCTAAAAAATCCCCCAAAAAAGTTCTTGTAATTTTTAAGAAAGCAGGAGAAATTATCATTAAATATTTTATATTTACTATTGCTTCTGTGTTAGTGTGAGTTCAAACTGGTGGTGCTAGAATTGTATTTGTGTTTGCTGGATACGTGTATTTAATATATTGGTCCCCTTATAAAGTATATCTATGATTATCTTATAAAACTTTATATTCTTTCTTTTCTTCTTTTCTTCAAATTGCCAGAGGGCATGTGTGCTCACCAGAGAGAGAGAGAGAGAGAGAGAGCGCACCCAATGAGGCATGGTCATGCTGCAATCCCATCCCCTCCATTTTTCAACCCTGTCAGGAATTTGGGCACATATGCACATGTGCCTGGCATTTTTCTCAAGCCATTGTGGTCAGGAATTAAACTGGGGTCAGTCATGTGGGATATAGCTCCCTTAACTGCTAGGCTAGGAACTGCCCTAGATCGTTTACTTTCAGTTTTTATAGGCTGTGTTTTTCATTGTTTTGTTGGTTTTTGTTTATTTTTTTGGAGATGTTTTTGCTATAGGGCGTGTGTGCTTGCCAGAAAGACAGAAAGAGACAGAGAGACAGAAAGAGAAATCACCCCCCCTCAGGGGGGTGGCCACTCTGAATTCCCTTCTCCATTTTCCTCTCGGGATCTGGGACACGCACTCACATGCACATGCACCTGGTGTGAGTTTAAGCCACCAGGTCCAGGACTGAAACCGCTGTTGACTATGTGAGAGTTCAGCGACATAGCCATTATGCCAACTGCTGGTCCCTGTTTGTTTGTTTTTAGTATTATTCATAAATGTGACTTATTTATGACATCATTCTTATAAAAAATAATAAGCCTGCTTTATGAGGCCACACCTAGGCATAGCTGTGGGGAGCCCTTTTGGCATGCAGCAAGGGCTAAGGTTCAGCTGTTGGACGGGCACTGTGGGAGGGGCAAGGAAGTGGGACCTTCTGCGACCATGGATACAGCCCCTGCTGCTACTGACTAGGGGCTAAAGACTTGCTCATGGCACTGACCATTACTGCGTGCCCTGGGCTCCTCTCACACTTGCCATGCAAACCCTAGAGCTAGGCGAAGGGAGGAATGGTTAACTGATGAACAGGCATCTTGAACCCAGAGGCACTACTTTTATGACTGATGTTTTAGTCCTTTACTGGAGAAAAGTTTTCCTCATGTTTTTAAAGTTAATGTGTCTTGCAGAACAAGCCTGGACTTTTCACAACTATGCCTCTCTTCACTAGAAATTTCTCACAGATATAATGATCTGGCAGAGGAAAAGAGAGATGTGCGAGCATATTATAAACAAAGATCTGGGCCCTCTTTCTTCTCCCATTTGTGAAAGTGAATTCTATTTTCCTGAATTTGGAGACTCCTTCCAGCTGCCTTATAAATTACTCCAGGCTTTAAAACAAGACATTATCCTCCAAGTTCAGTCTTGCACCAGCCTGTGATGTGGTGTTTAAGCTGCATCCCACATAGCCAACTGCTCCATTCACGCTCCAGACCAGTGATGTGAAAAAACACATTGGGCACATGTTTGTGTGCCCCAAATCCCCAAAGGAGTGAAAAGTGGAAAGGAAGGGATTACCGCATGAACGTTCCCCATGGAGGGAGGGACATACTTTCTCACTTTCCGTCTCTCTTTCTCTGTCTCTCACTCCCTTCACACTGTCTGGCAAATTAAAAAAAATAAGTTTGGTCTTACTAAGTAAGCTTGGCAATTCCTTAATAGTTATAGGGCTTTTTAAATGATGTATTTTATATTGAATGAGTTATGATAGCTTATTTTGAGGAAATGGCCATTTTATCTAAGCTGTCAATTGTATGTGTTCAGAGTTTTTCATAGTGTTCGATTATCCTATTGGTGTCTGCAAGGGGTCTGCTCTGTTTGTTTTGTCTTTTTTTTTTTTCTATTTTTCCTACATCCCTGCAGGTAAATTTAACTTTTTCCCCCCATAGGGCATGTGTGCTTGCCAGAGAGGAGAGAGATAGAGAAAGGAAAATTGAGAAATTGCTCCTGGGGGGTGGGGGGTATAGCCACACCACAATCTCTTCTCTATTCTCTTCTCAGGATTTCAGGTACAAACGCACATGTGCCTAGCATAACTTTCTAGTCATCAGGTCTTGGACTTGAACCATAATTGCCCATATGGAAATCCAGTCATCTTAACCACCACGCCATCTGCTGGCCCCAATTTAACATTTTTAGAACTTCATTTTGATTTGTTCCTAGTGTATCTAAGTATATCTCTTTGTATAGCCTCTTCAGTCTCATTACCTTCCTCATATGTGTATGAGTATATGTACACACATACACACACACACACACACACACACACACACACACGATTCTACTGGTGTCATCATTTTACCAGTTTGAGAGAAGTGTAGAAATTTTACCTTTCTTTAAGTTCCTTTTATTTATTTACTTTTTTTAAGAGAGAGATTTTTCTTTTGGGTGCATGCATTCACCAGAAAGACAGAGAGATAGAAATCACCACCCAGGATTGGGGGTTGACCATACCACAATCCCTTCTCCTCCATTCTCCTCTTGGGATCTTAGGCATGCATGCACATGTGCCTGGTACGAGTTTTAAGTCACTGGGTATGGGACTCAAACCATGGTCAACTACATGGGAGTCCAGCAATGTATCTATTATACCATTTGTTGGTCCCACCTTTCTTTAAGTCCCTTTAACCTTCCCCATTTTTAAGTGTCTTAATTATTGTCCTTACATATATTTAGAATAACACTAGAGATTTAGAAATTTAGCTTCAATCTTCAAACATAATTTAGAAAATTCATTAAGAAAAACCAGTTATATTTAGCCATAATTTTTTCTTATCATATTCTTTCTTTCCAGGAAAGGAATGAAAGGAATCTTGGATAATAAGATTCCTTTCATTCCTCCTTTCCTTTCTGTTTGAAGATCTTCTTTTAGCTATTTATTTAGGATCCATAGATGATGAATTTTTATATTTTATTTGAGAATGTCTTGATTATTTTCCTTCATTCCTGTAGGATATCCATGCTAGATATAGGATTCCGTGTTGAGAATTTTTTATTTCAGCACTTGAAAAATATTGTCTCACTTTATTCTGATATGTACACACACACACACACACACACACACACACACACACTAACTCATTTACCCAACACACACACAGGTTTTTCCCCATTTTCTAGAGGACTTCAAAAAGTTTGTGGGGATCAGCAGATGGTGTAATCAGCAGATGGTGTAATGGTTACCTTGCTTGACTCCTACCCAGTCGACCATGGTTCAAATCTCAGACCTGGTGGCTTAAATTCACACTGGATTCATGTGCATGTATGCCCAAAATCCCAAGGAGAAGCGATTGTAGCATGGCCATCCTCCCGGCGATGATTTCTTACTTTCTGTCTCTCTGGCGAGCACATGCACTCTAGCAAAAATCTCTCTTAAAAAAAAAATTGTGTAAAATGAATTAAAGTATAAGTTTATCTGGTGAAAAAAAATTTATATCAATGAACTTTTTGAAGACCTCTCCGGTATGTATATGATTTTTTCCCTATAGTTGTCATTTACTCTGGCTGCCTTCATGATTTTTTGTCTTTAGTTTTCATAAATGTAGATGCGATGTGTGTAGGTATAGATTTCTTGGGTTTATCCTGCTTTGGGTTTGAGCAGCTTCTTGAATCTTTAGATTCAATGTTCTTGACAAATTTTGGTGGTTTTCAGCTATTGTTTCTTCTCCTGCTCCTCCTCCTCCTCTTCCTCTTCCTTCTTCTTTTTGCCTTTCCTTATTTTTCATCTTTCTAGGCTCTAGTAACATGAAAGTTAGACCTTTTGTTATAGTTCCACAAGATGCTGTTCTTCATTTTCTTCCCCCCCATCCATTTTTTCTTGTAGTTCAGACTAGGGGTATCTATTGTCTTATCTCCAGTTTACTGATATTTCCTCTGACCCCTCTGTTCTGCTGTTGAGTCAACACACTGATCTTATTTAAATTATTATATCTTATAGTTATAAAATTTCCTCTTGGGTCTTCTTTACATTCTTCTTTACAATTATATATTGAGATTTCAATTTCTTTGTTGGAACTTTTTATTTTCTCCTTTGTTTCAATTAGAAATTCATAATTAGAATTATGAACCCAGCTTTTTTATCATGATTATTTTAAAATTTACTTAAATCTCCTATTTTACCTGACTATTTTGGTACCATTCTGTCAGAGCAGGAGGTAGTATCACCTCATTATTGCCAGATGGTGATAAGCACAGGCTCCCACTCAGCATTCACTGGTACTTGAAAAGAATGGCACCTTCATACTGCCAGGTGGGAAAAATGTCCAGTCCTGTCATGGTCTCCGTGACGCTGTAGGAGTATGGTCATGGTAGGGCTCATTATGACCCAGTGGAGATGAAAGCGTCAGCCCAGAAATTGTGTTGGAGATGGCCTGCTTTGTCTGTAAGCAGCCCTGCCACATACATGTATCCAAGTTTCAATGAGACCATACAATTATCATTTACAAGCACCAGTGAGGAGGAATTAAAAAAAAATTTTTTTTTTGAGATGTTTTCGCTATAGGGTGTGTGCGCTCGCCAGACAGACAGAGAAAGACATAGAGATAGAAAGCGAGAAATCACCCCCCCCAGAGGGGATGGTCACGCCGCAATCTCTTCTCCATTCTCCTCTCGGGATCTTGGGCATGCACACACACGCACCCGGCGTGAGTTCTAAGCCACCGGGTCCGAGACGCGAACCACAGTCGACTATGTGGGAGTCCAGCGACATAGCCATTACGCTAATTGCTGGTTCCCCACCAGTGAGGAGGAATTTGACAACCGGACAGTTCAGCCATCTAGACCTTAGACATTAAGATATACGAAATAAAATATTTTTCTGAGCAAATACAATTTTTTTTTCTAAAATCTTCCCATTTTAATCCTAGCATTCCACAGTCTATAGCTAGGTTGGTGTATATCAAACAAATTAACATTTAAAAATATAAAGATTAAGGCTTGTAGACAATCCTTCGCGTAGAGAGCATTTCAGCAAAATACAAGGTCGTATTATATGTGAACCTGAGGCCATCTGAATCTCCTCCTCCTTTCGCTGTCCTTGCTCCCCTACAGGAGGTTGTGGCTCACTGGATTGCTGAGAGCCGCATTGCAATTGAGGAGATCCGCTTGTTGACCCTGAAAGCTGCCCACAGCATTGACACTCTGGGCAGTGCTGGAGCTAAGAAGGAGGTAAGTCCTGCACCAGACCATCAGTTGCCCAGCATTCTCCAGTTCCTCCCACTCACTGAACATTTTACATGGCATGTACCCTGATGGCACTCAGAGTATTGGAAGCCCCATGTGATTTTGGTTTGACGATTATAGTTGTTAGTTTCCCTTTCACTGGTCTGGTGGAATCAGGGATGGTTTGGGGGACGCAAAACATCTTTAGCATTCTGGAAATACAACAACAAAGAGTGAGCAAATCCTGGGCTTTATATAGACCTTGAATTCATGATACCCACTATGCCACTTTCTGCTAGCCTTGTGGTGATGGGCAAAGTACCCAACCTTTCTTACTACAGCCTAGGATTTCTGTGAGGAATAACCAGAATGATACATGTGGATGCCTAGCACGAGGCTCCACATAGTACTTCTTGACCCCTGCCCTCGTATGTTTCTGACTTATAATTGTTTAATTCTAATAGTCCATAAAAAATTTCTAAGAGGTGGGACCAGTAGTTAGCGTAATGGCTATGTCACTGAACTCCCATGTAGCCGACCGCAGTTTGAGTCCTGGACCCAGTGACTTAAACTCACACTGGACGCGTGTGTGTGCATGCCCAAGATCCCGAGAGGAGAATAGAGGAGAAGGGGTTGTGGCGTGGCCATCCCCCTTGGGGGGTGATTTCTCGCTTTCTGTCTGTCTGTCTCTTTCTGACGAGTGTATGTGCCCTATAGCAAAAAACTCTCAGAAAAAATTTCTAAGAGAAAACTGATTAGACCTTGGACTCATTTTATGATTACTAAGATGATGAGTGAACACAACTACCTGAATTCCTTTTGGAAACAAGGCAAGTTATTAATAAATGAATAAAATGTGATTTGGAAGAAGTCTCTTCTGTATTGACTGAAATATGGTCATTAACTACATCACAGCAGATCTCTTTGTTGGCTTTCATCAAAGAGCCTGTTTTGGTGGTGACTTGGGTGTGAGAAAGTATCCTTGTTTCACGTCACAAAGAAAAGATAGTTCATGTCAAACTCTACCACATCTTGTATAGTCTAAGGAAGATGCCTTCTTTTCATATCTCACGTATATAGATTGCAATGATCAAAGTGGCTGCCCCACGAGCTGTCTGCAAAATTATTGACCGAGCCATCCAGGTGTGTGGAGGTGCAGGTGTGTCCCAGGATTACCCTCTGGCTAACATGTGAGTAGATGTCATTTGAGAACCATCCACAGGGCCAGCTATTTGTTTAGGTGGCTTAATCTGTGCAGTTTGAGTCCCAGACCTGGTGACTTAAAAACATGCTAGGCACATGTGTGTACAAGCCCAAAACCCTGGAAAGAGAAAAAGAGAAGGGATGGTGGCATGGCCATAACCAATGGGGGTGCTTTCTTTGAGTATGCCTTCATCTCTCTCCAGTAACTGCTTGTGCCTTCTAACAAAATTTTAAAAAAATAAAAAGTCTACATTTGATAATGCAAAGTAATCTATAGAGTTAAAGCTTGGCACTAATGGTTTAAGAAGATAATAGATGCTGAGTTACTATAAAGTGCAACTGAAGGCTGAAAGAAGTGACTCATACTGTAAAGCAGAGGTTGGCACCAAGATAGCTGCTCTTACAGTGCTCTTGATCCTGTTACCATTTCATGCTGTTACGTCTATGTTTACACAGAGGGTTCCTGGGCTGTTCTGTCCTGAAACAGAAAGGAGGGGAGGGTAACAAAGAGAGCCAAGGAGGCCCAGAGCCGGGCTCTGTGTGCATCTAGGACAGTTTCCACCCACAGTGTGCTGAACCTGCAGCAGTCCATGCCAGGGACCATCTAGCATCCAGATTCTCATTTCTAGGATAAGAAATCCTCCATACATTGTCCCCCTCCACACATTGTCACATACCACCTTCTCTGTCCTCTGGAGATAGTCTTATGCCCCATTAATTTTATCTTTAAGAAACAATTTAATAGGTGGTCAGCAAGTGACATGAGGGTTAGGGCACTGGATCCTACATGGTTTGAGTTCTGGACTTGGCAGCTTGAAAAAAACACAGAGTGCATGTGCATGCATGCCCAAGATTCTGAGAGGAGAATGGAAAAGGAATTGCAGTGTGGCCATCCCCCTTGGGGGATGATTTCTTTCTCCCCCTTTCTTCAGTGATTTGGAAAAAATGTCATATAGCAAAAACTGTAAAAAAAAAAAAAAAAAAAAAAACTAAATATAGTATTATGTTCACTGCCTGTGGCTTATCTAAGCTATCTCTCTGTTCTAGCATCTTCTAGTAACCTGTAGCAAACCACGAATAAGATTAACTCCCCTGCACTTTGCCATTTAAAATGATGCTTTCCCGAGTTGGGAACTTTCAAAGATCATTCCATTGGTTTTACTTTCCTAAATTTTCTTTGCACTCTTTTTCTTACCCCTGCCTTGGTGGGATTTTAAGAGTTAGTACAGTCTTAGCTTAAAACCAGAAGGACTGACTGTTAAGTGTCATGTTTCCAGTAAATCCTACTCCTGGGTATTTATGCGAAGGCCATCAATTACTCTGTTGGAAAGACACTTGCACATCCTTGTTTATCATGGCATTATTCACAACAACTATTACCTGGAACTAACCCAAGTGTCCAAAAACCAATGACTGGCATAGTGGTTAAGGCACTGGACTTGCACATGGCAGACCATGGTTCAAGTCCTGGACCCAGAGGCTTGAAACTCATGCCAGGCACATGTGCATGTATGCTCCCAATCCTGAGAGAACAAGGGATTGTGGCATGGCCATCCCCCCCAGGGGGTGATTTCTCTCTTTCTCTCTGTCACTTTCCTCTGTGACAAGCACATGTGCCCTATGGCAAAAACCTAAAAAACAAAAATGAAAAAAAAATGGAATACTACTCAGCCATAAAGAACATGATCCTGTTGTTTGATACTAAGTGGCTGAATCTACAGGATGCTAAGTGAAATAAGCTAAACTAAAAAAGACATACCCTGTGCGTGTGCATGTGTGCCCAAGATCCTGAGAGGAGAATGGAGGAGAAGGGATTGCGGGGTGACCAAACCCTCGGGAGATGATTTCTCACTTTCTGTCTCTCTGTCTCTCTCTGTCTGTCTGGCGAGCGCACACGCCCTATAGCAAAAACCTCTCCAAAAAATAAATAAATAAATAAATAAAATCCATTATACGCCACACACAGAGATGTACAAGAATTAAGAGCAAGGCCTAAATTTGGCTCTTCCACTCAAGCATGCCACTTCTGCCAGAAACAACCATTTCTGCCAGAACCCTCGCTTTTCCCTTCCCGAATCCACCACTTCTGCCTAAGGCTGCTATTTCCACCTTCACTTTCAGAAGCTGAGGAGACAGTGCAAGGTTAAAAACAAAGACAGAGAGGAGGCAAGAAGCCAGCCACTGCCACCAACACCAGTAAGCGGACCCACAACAGCACTGCCCCCACTTCCCCGCTGCTCACAAGGACAGCCAGGAGGGAATTTCTGGCTTGCACTAGCCAATGAACCTAATCCTGCCTCCATTCACCATCAGTGGGCAGAGATCTGTCTTGTAACCTGTGAAGCTCTACTTCCTTCTTCCTCCCAGTCTGTGCCTCGGCTTCTCCTCAGCAGCCACCAGACGGCACCACCTGGGCTTGAGTGACTGGCTCCAGTCATGTAGGCACCTCAGTGACTACAAGAGATACTCACTGTGCACTAGAGAGCACTGCTGGGCATTGGATACTGAACACCTCCATAGTGGATACCTGGTACTGAGCTGCAGCCTGAAGGCTACCAGAGATGGCATCTCAGCCACCACAAGGAGCTTCTCCTCAATGTGCACCAGAGCTCGGCCGGACATTGGATACTGTCCTCTTCCACAGTGATGTGAGAGGCACTCTGTAAGATGGGCTGAGGGAGAAGATTCCTCATGGCTCCTAAGAACTAGTGATTTCAGAGAAAGAAGAAAAATGAATTTTCTACTGATAATTTAGCCTCCAGCCCACAAACTTGAGTGGAGAGGCAAGGGACATGCCTTCCATAGAAGATTCCTCATGGCTCCAGAGAACTAGTGATTTCAGGGAAAAAAGAGAAATGAAGATTTTCTACTGATAATTCAGACTCCAGCCCACAAACTTGAGTGGTAGGAAGCCCTCAAGTTTTCTGTCTCTGTCTCTCTCTGCTTCTGTCTCTGCCTTTTCATTTTTTTTGTAATTTTTCCTTTAAAAATTTTTTTAAGGCAAAGTATTTTCTCAGCTTTGAGTCCCTCCTTTATCTTGCTAATAATCCCCTCTCTCCCTCCCACCCAGGAGAAGCAAGGGGCAGGCCTTCAAAAGAAGATTCCTTTTGGCTCCTGAGAACTAGTGATTTTGCATGGCACTTGTGCACTGTGCCAATGTCTACTTTTTGCTTTTTTAGAAAAAACAATTTTTTTCTTTTTTTTTTTTTTTTTTTGGAGAGGTTTTTCCTATAGGGCACATGAGCCTGCCAGAAAGGCAGAGAAAAACAGAGAAACAGAAAGCAAGAAATCACTCCCCCCAGGGGGGTGGCCACAATGCAGTCCCTTCTCCTCCATTCTCCTCTCGGGATCTTGGGCACACACACATGTGCCTGGCATAAGTTTAAGCCACCGGGTCTGGGACTCGAACTGCAGTCGACTACATGGGAGTCCAGTGACATAGTTGTTACATCAACTGCTGGTCCCCCCCCCCAAAAAAAAAATTTATTTTATTTTTTTTTCTTCTTTTTTTCTCTGTTTCATTGTTGTTTTTTCTCTCTCTCTGTTTCCTTTTCATTTAGCTCATCTCTCTGCTCCTCAATCTCTATTCACTGTGTTTCTAGACAAATTTAAGGAAACAGTAGCCAAATATTCAAATACTATTAGGGTTAACATATTCCTCAATATCTATTAAATGTGCTGTGCAAAGGGATCAAAATGGAACGGCAGAGAGATTCCAGATCACCTCTTTCTGCATACTCCTGAATGCTCAGATTGAACTTTAAGTTTAGGAAGAAACACACCATCCACCAGATGACTTGAAATCACCACAGTGCCACAAGAAATATGGAAAAGCAAGAAAATACCTCTCCTCCAAGGGAAAAGAATAACTCCTCTTCATCCACAGACAGTTCTATGGAAATCATGGACATGTCTGATAAAGAATTTAGAATGTTCATAGTGGCGAAGCTAACTGAGATGGAAAAGAGACAATGAACTGCAGAAGAGAAAGGAGAAAGGAGATGATGAGTTCCAGGAGGTGAGAAAATTCTTGCAAGATCTAAAAGAGGAATTACACACTTTATAAAAGAATCAAAAGGACCTGTTAGAGATGAAGGCTATAATACAGGAAGTCAGTCTCCCTTGAAAGTATTAAAAGCAGACTAGATCATACAGAAAATAGAGTCTCAGATGTAGAATAGAAAATTTCTGGCCTAGAAAAATCCACCACAGGGAACCAGAAGTTAGCGTAATGGCTATGTCGCTGGACTCCCACGTAGTTGACCGCAGTTCGTGTCCCAGACCTGGTGGCTTAGAACTCACGCCGGGCACATGTGCATGCGTGCCCAAGATCCCGAGAGGAGAAGGGATTGTGGCATGACCATCTCCCCTGGGGGGGGTGATTTCTCACTTTCTGTCTCTCTGTCTGTCTGGTGACTGCACGCGCCCTATAGCGAAGAAACCTCTCAAAAAAATTAAAAAAAAAAAGAGGGACCAGCAGTTAGCATAATGGCTATGTCACTGGACTCCCACATAGTCAACTGCGGTTCGCGTCCCAGACTCGGTGGCGTAAAACTCATGCCGTGCGCGTGTGCGTGTGCCCAAGATCCCAAGAGGAGAATAGAGGAGAAGGGATTGCGGCATGGCCATCCCCCTTGGGGGGTGATTTCTCGCTTTCTTTCTGTCTCTCTGTTTCTGTATGTCTGGCAAGCGCACAGGCCCTATAGCAAAAACCTCTCCAAAAAAAAAAAAAAAAAAGAAAGAAAGAAAAGAAAAGAAACATCCACCACAAAGACAGAAAAATAATATATGAGATACCATCAAATACTAGATATCATCAAACGTCTAAACATCTGCATAATTGGCATCCCAGAATGCGAAGAGACTTATAAGGGCATAATCTATTCCATGAAATCCTGCACGAAAACCTTCCAAACCTAGAGAGGCACTCAAAAATTCACTCTCAAGAAATACATTAAACCCCAAATAGGATCAACCCAAGATCTTCTCCAAGACACATTATAGCCAGGTTGACCAAAACCACAGAAAAGGCAAGATACTAAGATTTGCAAGAGAGAAAACGCAAGTTACCTACAAAAGATATCCCATCAGGCTAACAGCAGACCTCTCATCAGAAACACTGCAAGCAAGGAAAGAATGGAAAAATATATTCCAAGTGTTAAGGGAAAAGCAATTTCAACCAAGAATACTGTACCAGGCAAGATTATCCTTCATGTGGGAAGAAAAGACAAGAACATTATCAGATAAACAAAACCTGAAAGAATTTACCAGCACCAGACCAGATCTCCAAGAAGTTCTCAAGGGAGTGCTACATCAGGAAAATTAAATGCAGACACACAGAAATAAGAGTTCAAAAAGCAATAAAATGGCCAATTTAATCATAAGGACAAGTCTGGAGTTGAATATTATATCCCAGAGTTTAATTGGGAAGATTGAACCACAACAGAAGGTAGATTAAGTACATGAGACTGAACTGGTGAAATAGCATTTTATGACTTTTGACTAAAACATTGCTGATTTTTTTCTAAGCTTTGTTGTCTGGTTTTAAGGATTTTTGTTCTGTCTTGAGCTGTGGATAGGTTCATGGACCTACTAGTTGAACAGAATCCTAACCTGTTTCCTGGCTTTACGTTTTAAGCAAAGTTCCTTAGCATTTCTTTGATTTATTAAAGTTAAAACTGCTTTTCTTGGAAAAAAAAGAATTAAAAGCAAATAAGAAATTATTAAATAAAACAGAAAAATAATGTGTCATGTTTTTCTGAGACAACGCACATGAACCTCGCTCTTTTTGTTTTCTTCAGGTATGCCTTAACCCGAACCCTGCGCATAGCAGATGGGCCTGATGAAGTCCACCTCTCAGCAATTGCAGGAATGGAGCTCCGGGAGCAAGCCAAAGGGTTGTCAGCCAAGATGTGAAGAAAATAACATCACCACAACAGGCAGAAAGTCGCCTTCATATAAACTTAATAGGCTCCAACATTTAATTGTATATTTTTGCGGTAGATTGAGAATAGAGTTAATTATTTACTTGTGGTAAAGATTTTAGCTGTTTTAATTAGTGAGTTTTATAATTTCTTTTTTTTTTTGGAGAGGTTTTTGCTATAGGGCACGTGTGGTCACCAGGAAGACAGAGAGGCAGAAAGCGAGAAATCACGCCCCTGGGGAGGTGGCCATGCCACAATCCCTTCTCCTCCATTCTCCTCTTGGGATCTTGGGCATACATGCACACGCACCTGGTGTGAGTTTAAGCCACCGGGTCTGGGACTCGAACTGTGGTTGACCTCATGGGAGTCCAGCGACACAGCTATTACACCAACTGCTGGTCCTGAGTTTTACAATTTCAAGAATCAAACAAGTAAAAGTTAAATAAATTCTTTCTATGGCGTCATTCTGTTTAGTACCTAAACAGTTTACCAGCATTTACTTTTTCAATACAGCTTGTAAAGAGAATGAATTAGATTGGAGAGTTGAAACATAAAAATATTTTCACTTTTGATTTCTAGGAATTCTTCCAAATAAATAAATAAATAATTCTAAAACAACTTCATTATTTGGAAAAAAATGTAATGAGACTCCTCTTTAATTCTTTTTTTGTATTATGGTGGGGGGGATGATTAGTTTAACATGTTGTAATGTTTGCACTGGAAAAAAACTAGGGTTTTTTAAAATTCACATACTTATAAGCTTCTTCATAATACAACAGGAAGCAGTTTTGTAAGCATGGGATACAATTTATAGTTTACTTGAAACCATGGCATATTATGAGAAAACATCATTAAGAACCATTTTAATAGTTAATAACTGTTGATGAGAACAGTGGACAATTTGAGCCACAGGAAAGTTCTTTAGTTTCAAGAAAGTATTAAAGACAGTTTGCTCTGAATCTCATCATGTTAATAGCAATACCCTGCGGAAATGTCCTGGTGGCTGTTTACATGAGCTCTGTCCCATGGAGTACGGCCACTGGCCCCAGGTGATTCTTTATTTTTTCCTTTTTAATTTATGTGTGCTCACCAGAGAGATAGAGAGGGAGAGGTAGAGGGAGAAAACACCCACGTGGAGATTAGTCATGTTATAATCCTTTCCCCTCCGCTTTATAAAATCTAAATAAAAATTTAGTATCCAAATTTAAAAAAAAGGAGAACGTGGGAAATACACAGCACATCTTGAAGATTTAGTATTAGAAAATGAAAAATAGCTCTAATACTTTTTTATATTGATTATGTATTGAAATTATATTTTGCATATGTTGAGTTAGATAAAAATATTAACATTCATTTCACCTGTTTCATGTTACCTTTTTAAAGCATGGATGCCACTAGAATAATAACTGGTAAAATTTAAGTTTTCTAAGGAAAGTTTTTATTACTAAAACTTTAAACTTTATTAGGAAGCATACATGTCACATGAAGTTATTGACATCTAGAGATTCTTTCAATCATGGGTTAAACTTTTTTCTTTCTTTTTTTTTTTTTTTTTGAGAGGGTTTTTTTTCACTATAGGGTGCGTGCGCTCACCAGACAGACAGAGAGAGACATAGAGACAGAAAGCGAGAAATCACCCCCTAGGGGGGATGGTCACGCCGCAATCCCTTCTCCTCCATTCTCCTCCCGGGATCTTGGGCACGCACGCACACGCGCCCGGCGTGAGTTTTTTAAGCCACCGGGTCCGGGACACGAACCGCGGTCAACTACGTGGGAGTCCAGTGACATAGCCATTACGCTAACTGTTGGTTCCCGCTTAAACTTTTTTCTTGAAGTGGACGTGGGGAGCAGGAATTTGAGAAAGAGCTGGGCTCTGATTCCTTGTGTGTTGTCTGGGCTTCTTAAACATCAGCTGCTCAGCCTTAACTTCTCTGTACTTCACATTTCTTTCTGTACATTGGTGTAATTGTTTTAAGTTTATTAATTTATTCCTTCTGAGTGAGACAGAGACAACACCCCCCCAAGAGAGAACTGATAGTGCAATTGTACCCATCACCTCTACCGGCCTTCAGCCAGCCCTGGATCAGAGTAGGTCTCCAGACTTGAACTGGGAACCTTCCCATGTGGGCTTGTCTCACAGAGCATTGTGTTTTACCTCTGTGCCACCCTCTGGCCCCTTTTTTCCTATCTTTTGAGGGAAGCTGGCTGAATTGATTGGCAAATTGTTAAATAAAAATTATAGGAGGCCATTGTCCTAGATTGAGCTCTTTCATGGGGCCCCAACCAAACAGACCAAAGAAAAATCACTCCTGCTAAAAATGCACATTCCAAACTGAAATGTTAAGGAAGCAGAGAGGCAAATAAACACAAAACAGACCAATTTTTCCTAAAAGAGATTCCAGTCTACCCGAGTCATCAGAATAAGGCAGTCCCGTCTGCCTTAAAGATTACAAGGAAAGTCACTTGGAAATGACCAATCTGCCATTGTACTTTGTTTATGCTTTTTTTTTTCCCCCTTCTCTAAAACCAACCTCTCTGCCACTTTTTGAGTTATACCTGAATCTCTGCTTCCTAGGTTACAACCTCTAAGACCTCAAATAAAGCTTCGTGTTCTTCACCAATTCAGAGTTTGAAATTCATTGTTTAATCTGCTGTCACGTACATAGCCATGCCTAAGGCAAATAACTCTATGTAATCCATACTTTGCTCTAGTTAGGTAAGTAAATGGGCTGACTGTAAAGCTCATGAGCTTTGAGGCCATTTCTAGGGCTCTGTCCAGTCTGCCAGTGAGATGGAAGATAGGACATTGAGAAACAGGTAGTCAGGACATAAGGCCTAAAGACAGAGTCACAGTTGTCACAAGGAACTGCTTGCACACAGGACACAGGTTACAGCTCTGATTAACCTAGTCACAATCTGCAGCATGACCTAAAGCAGTTATAATTCCCGAGGCAAGAGTGTAGTCTTTGTGGCCCAGACTCCATGCAAGGAATGCAGATCCAAGGTCAGTTAGCCCTACATGCAACTTTAGTAATAAATTACTCAATTACCAGTTTCGAAAGGGACTCAGTATCCTGACATCACAGATGATTGTAGTCTTTTTTGAAGCCCGTTTCCTGACCAGAGACCCTTGCTTAGACTGCTAGATTTAAAAACCCCTGATGAAAGCCCCAAATCAGCATCTCTCTTTCAGGATTCCTCCAGTTCAGGACCTTTCCTGTTTCAATAAAACTGTGCTTTACTACCCCCTCCTTCTGTCCACATTTTTCGTTCTTCATGATTGTGAGACACAACTCAGAAACCCTGTAACACCAGGTCTGCCACGTGTTTGAAACCACATTGTTTTAAAATGAGAAGGTGCCCCTTATAATAACCACATGACTTGAAGAGAGGAGGGAGGAGAGAGCTCGCCAGTCATGGCTTTACCCATCGAGACCCCTCCAGGAATTGCCACATAGCAGCAGGGGAGGAGTGGCCTAGAATCTGCCAGACTGGGAGAATACCACGAGGCTCCACACACAGAAGGTCACAATCTTTCTCCAGCTAAACATTAGGAGCCCAAAAGGGTAACTGTGTTTATCCAGAACAGTGGCCTGTTAAGGGAGTCTGGTCGCTGACCTTTTCAACTCAGATCATACAACAGAAAGTACGACTGACTGTAGAAGAACCTTTCCTCATCAACTTGCAGTTATTCATAAAAAAAAGTTCCCAAACAACTGTGGTCTATTTACATGCCATGGGCATGTTTTGTCAAAGAGTACTAATGGGGGTAAAAAGCAAAGTTAAATATGGCAGTTAGGCATTTTAATGGTAAGTTTCATAGGGCTTGTCAAAAACTACTTTTCTTGTTCTTGAATTAAGCTGTAACAATCTGGAAGCTCTCAGAAAGAAGGTACTTTTTAGCCAGACTTTTGGAAAAGTTCAAAAAGCCCTTACATAAAGGATCTTATAAAATGAAATGTATTTATAGAAATGCTATGAAAAAAATGTCTTATTTCAATCAAGCCAGATGCCCTTGCCTTGGCTTTGTTCTGTCAATGGCACTAGATGACCCTTGCCCAAGGAGCAGGATAAAGGGGGTGGGGGGATGAGACCAGTCAGCAGGTCCTCTCTCATGACGTCTGGTTGGTATTTGTGGCATGTATTTCTCCCCCGTTTCTTTTGCCTGGATAGCTATAGAAGACTCCAAACTGGGCTTCCAATCTGTTCTCTCAGCAGCCAGAATGACGCTCTTGAATGCTGTCATGGCTTCCGCCTCACTTAGAATAAACATGAAGTCCTTGCTTTGGCCAATTAGGCACCATCTGAGCTTGTCCCTGACACCTCTGTGACCTCATCCCTGGATCACTTCACCACCCCTGGCTGCTGATCCAGCGTGTGAGCACATCCAGGCCTGAGCTTACTTCTTAATACTTTTTCTGCCTGAAAGGAACTGCTCTGAGATTTCCCAGATGCCTGTTCAAACGTCACTTTATCTAAAATTTCCTGTTCAAACGTCACTTTATCTAAAATGTCCTTTCTTTTTCCCTTTTTCTTTTTGGCCAGAGAGCATGTGCACACTTTAGAGAAACACTGCAGACAGAGAAAGCACCCCCATGGAACATGATCACACTACAACCTCCTCTCCTCCATTTCTCCTTCTGCTGGGATTTGGGGTATACTCACACATGAGCCCAGCATTTTTTTAAAGAGATTTTTGCTGTAGCATATGTGTGCTTGTGGAGAGACAGAGAGACAGACAGAACATGAGAAATCAGGAGGGGTGGCCACAATCCTTCTCCTCCATTCTCCCCTTCAGATTTTGAGTGCGCGCACACACACGTGCCCACTGTGAGTTTTAAGTCACTGGATCTGGGACTTGAACTACATGATTGACTATATGGGAGTCCGACGACATAACCATTATGCTATTTGCTGGTTCCAAGCCCAGCATGTTTTTCAAGCCACTTGAACCAAGATTTAAACTATGTCAGCTTTGTGGGATTCGGCTCCCTTAACCACCAGGCCACAGGCCCTAAAGTGTCCTTTCTTGACCATTGCTTTACACTAGTACCACAAGCTTTGTCATTCCCCACCTCCTT